TATGCCCATGGTGTGGCTTTCCTAAGAGCATGTGGTGCATACTCCTGCTTTTACCTCTCTTTTGGTTGTTCTTTACCTTCATTCAGAAGATGAGATTGGTAGGGTAGCCCCATCCTACAATCTAGCAGGGACTTTGTCTGTTATCTGTTCTCATCCTGGAAATTATCCTACATATCGGAAGGCATTCTTCATTTAAAAAATTAGAAGGAAATAGTTTGCAGGATGAAGATTATCTCCTTGATAATCTGCCAAATAAATGGTTCAGGTTGCCAGTATGAAGCTTCTTTAATTTTTGGCAAATGGGAACTGGTTATGTGCATACATACACACAAAACTTAATAGAAAGAGTAAAATAAAATTTTGACTGTCATGAGACTGAGAAGAGTAGAGAAAGTGGAAGTCTAAATTTTCTCTTTTTTTTGGCTTTAAACAATTTAATGAGAAAAAAGAAGTGTACGTAAGATTCTTAACAAAAATCAAGTTAAATTTTTAAATGTATTTGAATATTTAAGGATTGCCACAAATTAAATTTGTCAATGATTTTAACTATATGTGTTTTTTAATAATGTATCTGTAAATATGTTTACTGCAATACATATGCAATAATGTATGTTATGTAATTTTTATTTAATTGAAAGATTGTATTTTTATTTTTGATCAGATACAGTGAAGAGGTTAATCAGTAATGGCTTCCACTTTATCTATCAGTTTAGAGGGCAAGATTCAGCCAAATGAGATTAAGAACTGTTAGAAAGATATGCAGCAAGTCAGTGATTACTGTGTGATTCATCCATAGGTTATCGATACTTGATCTGACTTGAATTTACGTGAAATACTCGAATGTATTTCTTAGCATAAAAATCCCATTTTAATTTTTTTTTTTGGAGCTAGGCTCTTACTCTGTCACCCAGGCTGGAGTACAGTGGTGCGATCATGGCTCACTGTAGCCTCAACCTCCTGGGCTCAAGTGATTCTCCTGCCTCAGCCTCCAGGGTAGCTAGGACTACAATTGTGCACCACGATGCCCAGCTAATTTTTTATTTTTATAGAGACGAGGTCTACCTATGTTTCCCAGGCTGTTCTCAAACTCCTGGCCTCAAGTGATCCTCCTGCCTCAGCCTACCAAAGTGTTGGGATTACAGGTGTGAGCCACCACTCCTGACTCCTATCTAATATTATATCTAATTTGATTTATAGTAATTGAGCTTATCTCTTAGCGACATCACAGAAACAAGGCTTTAGTGAATTTTGTTAATAAAAAGACTATCATAGCTTTCAGTGTTTGTCAATCAGTAAGGTTTTTAAAATTAAAACCTTAAATTAAATTGATAATTAGATTAAAACAAGCTGGGCCAGCACTTTGAGAAGCTGAAGCAGGAGGAGGATTGCTTGAGCCCAGGAGTTCAAGACCAGCCTGGACAACATAGAGAGATCCTATCTCTACAAAAATATAAACTAGCCAGGCACGGTAGCATGCATCTGTAGTCCCAGCTACTGGGGAGCCTGACGCTGGAGGATCTGTTGAACCTGTGAGGTTGAGGCTGTAGTAAGCCGTAATTGTGCCACTGCACTCCAGCCTGGGTGGCAGAGTGAGATTCTGTCTCAAAAAATTAAATTAAAAACAAAATGTGGACGTACTTGAAACTTTGACTCTTACATTGATGCAGCCTTCAAAGGAACTTGTCCATTTGTGAAAGTTTTCCTTTTATATAAGTCTTTCGTACAGTCAAATAAGTGTTTACTAAATGAAACACTACATTTTATAGTGCAGTGGCACTAAAAGGAAACTATTTTGCAGCCGTGGAGTTTTTTTCTTTTGTTCTTTTTACTTTTTCCAAGGCAAGATGCCTGGTGGGAGAGTTGTCTGGAGGCAGGATGATCAGAAGCAGGAACTGGCCAGCTATCTGCTTATTTCAGTCTGTATTATATCATCTGATATGCCCGTAAGGGAGATGTGTCAATTGGTTAATGGGCCAGAGTATTGATTTTATGTTTTCAGATTGCTAACAGAGAGATTTGGCTTCCAGATACAAGCAGTTCCACAAGTCTCTGTTTTCAGACAGGCGCATAATTAAAGTAACCACACAGTTCTCTGAGGTTAGAGTTTATGCTGTGATGAAGCCTCTGTATTTGGTATTTAAAAGCAGTTTGAAGCTGTTGTGTAAGTATCACTGGACTTGGAGTCAACTGACCTAAGTTCTAGCCTTGGCTTTTCTACTCTCTTAACAGTGGATTAAATGATGAGGCTTATTTTAAAGAATCTCGAAAACTATAGTAATTTCAACAAGAGGAGATTAATTGAATGTATTATGAAACATCAAGATAACTGAAAATCTGTGCTGCCATTATTGCATGTCAGAAGTCATTGTGATACATTGTATGTGCAAAGGCAGTTTACCAAACAGAATTACATACAGTGTAATCGTTTTTTTCTTATATAGGAAAATACCCACTTCCCCCCTGCTTAAAGAAATACCAGACACCACAATGTGTATGTGTATTTAGCCTAAAGATCATATTTTTTTTTTGCCTAGGAAGTATAGAATAATTTAAATATTTTATATTCAGATAGCTGAAGATGGCTTGCTGAGATAAAACATTGGAGCCCTGTGTTTGGTGATTGCTGTGGGTTTCATTTATTTTTGCTGTCTTTACCCTCTGTATTTATTGGTAGTGTTGAATATTTATTTTCAGAACTATTATAATGTATCTTTTTCTATGGGAGGACGTGAATATTTGACCACAGATGGTTTTCATTTTTTTAGTATGAGGCACGTGGATTGACTGCCTTTGAAACTTGAATGCTGTGTAATATGCAGGTGCTTTTATTGTTTATAGAAATGCCTAATCCTTGTTTGAAATTTATTAAATGGTATGCCGTCTGTAAGCCCCTCTAAATTCCACAGATTAATTAGCCTTTAAAGTAAGGTTGCCTTTTGTCTAACTTTTAGTATAAACTCTTCCATCTGGGGACTTTCACTTTTATGTCCCTGTTCAGTGTTCTGTGTACTTCAGCCCTCTAGTATTAATTACGGACACTGGCATTCTAAGTAACAATGAAGATCACTAAAAATAAAAGTAGACTGAACAAAGTGGCATTGTCCAGAGAATAGTTTGCATTTGGTGAATAATCAATCCATCATGGCTTTGCCATTGCTCTTTGTATGTGCGTGTGTGAGTGTGTGAGTGTGTGTGCGTGTGTGTGTGTTTAGCATTACTTACAAGTGAGATAGTTATTATGCAGGGAAATTTTTACAGATGATGGTTTCATAAAAATCAGGATTTTTGTAGTTTAAATAAAAAACACCCTTTTTGACATTTCATGTAACATTTCTTTTCCTTGTGGGTTCTGATTTAAAGGTTGTTGAAAATATTTGGTGTTGGGAGTTCACTTGGTTGACTTTGGCATACTTTTCTTTCTAGGAAATGTAGTATCAGGGTGGGAATTGTGTTGTTGTTTTAAAAGAAATAGATTACGTTCTTTAACTTTATTTACTGGTCTCAGTAAGAGTTATTGAACACTCTAGAGTGTTACTTTTTAAAGTCTATTGTGAAATATATAGAAATTAGTAATGTAGCCATCCGTATACTCATACTAATCAATTTAATGTAGGTTGGTGCTTTTTATGGACTTAATTTTGCCACCTCTCTCACTTCCCCAAAGAAATTAGACTAGTGTGTAATAATAGGCTTCATAACTTAATTTAGATGATATAACAAAAATAATTTCGCTCAGTAAGTTTCTATTGTAGTAGATATTGTTGGTATATCCTACAAAAAGGTAGGATCAGATGTGGTTTGGCTTTCAACCTATAAAATTCAGGTGGGGAAAGAGAGAGAGAGTGTTAACATTCTTGAAACAATTGAGAGCATTAGAGTGTTCCAGTGTATCCTCCAAATTCTAAGGGTATAAGATGTTCAGAGAAAATAAAAAATAAGGGTGGGTTAGAATAATTGAATTTGAATGGGCCTTGGAATTAGATTAGTGGAGGAGATAGCATTCCAAGTGGAAATAAACTATGTGAATAACGAAACAAGTTAGATATGTATGGAGATTATGGAGTAGCCTTAAATGATAAGATTGGAGGAATGTGGCTTGAATAGCTGTAGATTTAGGGCGGAAGGTCTGGTTAGGCAGTGGGAGGTCACAATATGGAAGACCTTAAAAGAAAAGATGGGTAGCAGGGATATATGACTAGCTTGTTTTTGCAATTGAGTAGTAAGATAAAAATATCTTCTTGGGAGAAGTTATCTAAGAAATGGTAGACAGGATGAGATGGAAAACAATTGAAATAGGAGTCTGTTGCAGTAGTACAGGGATGAGTTAATGAGTGCCTGTATTAGGAGAATGGAAGAGGGAATAGAGAGAAAGGAATAACTGAGACACATTTTCACTGGAGTAAACTTGGTCATTAGTATATACTTTTAATATATTCAATGAGTGAATGAGGGATTGAGAAGGACTGAATATAGTGAATAAAGAAAAATAATATTATTGATAGAAGTTACTATTGATAGAAGATGGATAGATTTTTTAAAAATCTAGTTAAAGGGAGATAGTGAGTTCAGTTTGCACATAATGGATTAGAAGTGGTAATAACTGTGTAAGTAGAAGTGGTCTTGTAATTAATTGAATATATGGTTCTGGGGCATAGCCATTTCAGGGCCAGAGATGTAGATTTAAGATGTATGTATATATGCGTATATATTTAAAGATACTTTCTGAGGGAGTTTCTAAGGGGAAAATTAGAAGATTAATACATGAGCCTTAGAAAACGTCAGAGGAAATTATTTAACATTTGGGTTTTAGAAGGCCTTATTTAACCATTTGATTTTTAACATATTTAGTTTGAGCAGTGTTTTTTCAAACCTGTTTTGAAACAACTAGTAACCTGTGCTTTGAAAAAACAGTTAAAAATAATTGTAAAAATTAGTATATTCTGATCTATTTCATCTGATTCTAAAACCAGGATATTCTGATTCATTGTAACTTTTTCTAGATTGCTGTGCTAAGGAGACAACAACGTATGATAAAAAATCGAGAATCTGCTTGTCAGTCTCGCAAGAAGAAGAAAGAATATATGCTAGGGTTAGAGGCGAGATTAAAGGCTGCCCTTTCAGAGAACGAGCAACTGAAGAAAGAAAATGGAACACTGAAGCGGCAGCTGGATGAGGTTGTGTCAGAGGTAAGTGTTAGTAATAGGGCTGGGTCGAGATGGGCTAAAGTATCCCCTGGATAAATAAATAGATAAACTTTTACATTTTAAATTAAATTGTGTAAACAATTGTGCTAGGAAAAGGAGGGTACAATCAGTCCTAAAACATTTGCAGTAAGGATAAAGCCTTTGAAGAGGACCCTTTGAATTGCACTCTCCAGTCTACATAGAAAAGTTGTCTCCTTTTCCTGGGTTTCTCTTCACTCATTGCCTTAACACCCTCTTTTCTGACTAAATGAATCACATTGAGGCTTCTAAATAGCCCTGCCATATTGTTCCTTTTAAAAAAGAAAGCAATATAAAATAAAAGTGTTTTTATTTTTTCTCAGTCCACCTAACAACTAATGTGATTTTTGCATTCTGTTACTATGCTGACTCCAAGAGGGTTAATCTCCTCAGTTCTATTCGGGAAATTTACTGTTTTCAGAATTTCTCACTGCAGTGCTGAACCATACAGATGCCTATCGAATGGGACTTCTTACACTATTCTTTTTCTCTTGGCCCTGAGTACATGGGTATACTCCTGTATTTTACTGAAAACAATGATTTAAAAGGTTAGGGAGGCAAACTGTAGAAGTGTCTCAAAATTCTTTGGGGATCCATAAAAATATAAAAATGTTGATTCTGGCCGGGCACAGTGGCTCACGCCTGTAATTCCAGCACTTTGGGATGCTGAGGCGGGCATATCACGAGGTCAGGAGATCAAGGCCATCCTCGCCAACATGGTGAAACCCCATCTCTACTAAAAATACAAAAGTTAGCTGGGTGTGGTAGCGCACACCTGTAATCCCAGCTACTTGGGAGGCTGAGGAAGCAGAATCGCTGGAACCCTGGAGGCGGAGATCGCCGGGAGCTGAGATGGCGCCACTGCACTCCAGCCTGACGACAAAGTGACACTCTGTCTCAAAAAAATATGTATACAGATATATATTGAATCTTTCCTCTTGGGTGAAGAGGCAACTGCAATGGAGTGGCTGCTGTGTTTTTTTTCTCTTCTGCTTCTCTCCTTTTCTCTCCCTGCTAGAAAAGGGAACTTGGAAGTCCCTGCTCTAGTCTTGAAAAGTATTATTTACACACCTTTGATGTTTTTTTAAAAAAATAAGACAAGGTATTTATAAGACAAGGTATTTACGTAACTGGTGAAGAGGAAAATTCTAATCTTAAGTGTTGCTTTTTCTGAAATTGATGTGTAGTTTAATTGTATTTAATGTGGTCATTTCCTTTAGAACCAGAGGCTTAAAGTCCCTAGTCCAAAGCGAAGAGCTGTCTGTGTGATGATAGTATTGGCATTTATAATACTGAACTATGGACCTATGAGGTAAGTGAATAGACATTTGTTTTGGATACTAATGCTAAAAACTTAAATTCTCATTATTCTTTAGCTTTCATCGTAAACTAGAGAAAAAATGATTTGTTTTTCAAGATGTGCAAAGAGTAATGAGACAGGAGCCATGCCTTCAAAGATCTCATGACCCAGCTGGGAGGAGAGAAAAGTAGAAGGATGACTATGGTATAATGTGATGAACGTAATAATAGCAGGGTTAATGAGTCCTAACATAATACAGAGTACGAGTTCCTTGAGGTGAAGGTTCTTGTCGTATTGATGGGTACTCGATACGTTTTTTGTTGAGTGACTGAGTTATAAGGGAGATACCGATGAAGGAAGCTGAACATTGAACTGTGATATCAGTTCGCCATGTGCAAAGTATGATAAGGGCATGCCAGGCAAAGGGAACAGCGTGTTTAAAGGCACAGTTATGAAATGGTATGACATGATCATAAAAAAGTAAAAAGTTCAGTGTATCTTGTATATGTGGGGAGTCTGCATGAGGCTAGATGTATGACTAGAGGTATAGGTGCTGCTGTGTACAATGAGGCACCCCTAGATTTTAGGTGGAGGGTAACATAATCAGCTTTGCATATTAGGAAGAGGATTTTGAGGGTTGTATTGAGTATAGACTGGAGTGAGGAGAGACTATTGGCAGAGAAAGCATTAGAAGACTATTGAGGTATTTCAGGTAATAAATGAGAGTCTGAACTTATACTCTGGTTATAAAAAGGATGGGCAATCTTAGGGTACCTCTCTTATGTAGATTTTGTGGGATTTGTTAACTGGTATAATGTGGGACATGAGGAAGAAAAGAGGGAAGTTAAGGATAATTCAAAAATTTCTATCTTGAGGGACTGAATGGTGGTGCTGTCATCTGAGGAAGCAAACATAGACAGACAGACAGTTTTATGAAGAAAGACAATAGTTTTTAAGTATAGTAAGTTTGTGGCACTGACTAGATATTGAGAATTAACATTACAAATCGGTAGATAGACTGACAGACAGATAATGTTAGTGGAGTAGATGGGATTATCCAAGGAGAACAGGTAGAGGAAGGAAAGTAAGAAGAATCTGCGCGACACCAGTATGAATAGTAGATAGCCTTGGGAAAAGAAATTAGGGAATCACAGCAAATTAGGGGAAGAACTGAAAGAAAGTAGCTTTTTGAAGCCAAAGTAAAAAGAGTTTCAAGCAGGTCTTGGGCAGTGGTATCACATGCTGCTGAGAGCTTGGGAGACACAGAAAGCTGAATTTGGCAATTATCAGATCACTTGTAATCTTGGAAAGCAGATTTAATAGGATTAGGCATGAAGAAGTCTATATTAAAATTGGTTCAGAATTGAAAGGAGTTAAAGTTGAATGATCTTTTTTTAAAAAAACATTTTGTTATGAAGATTTTCAAATATACAGGAAATTTGAGAAAATAATATAATCAACCCCCTGCTCTCATGACATTTATAATCTAATATAGGTGACATATACTAATCAAAATGATTACACAAATAATTGCAAAATTGTAACATTAGGTGCCATGAAGGAAAGGTACATGATATCATAAGCCCATATAATAGGGTCACTTGACCTAGTTAGGGAAGTAAGGGAAGGTTTCTCTGAGAAAGAAGTGATTAACTTAAGATCTAAAAGAAGATTAGGAATTATTTACGTAAGATACAGGAAGAACATTTCATATAGAATATATAAACATCTATACCCACATTCGTGTTGTGTCTTTGTGTTTATATGTATTTAGTTTAAAAATTTTGGTTTTACGTGAAAGAATTATATACAAATTGTGCTTTCTTTAAAATATGTGAATACGTTATTCTCTTTTAATACTACATAGTTTTTTTGTAGTGTAAATGTGCCATTATTTAGCAGTTCTCAAACTTTAGGTCTTGGGAACCCCTTTGTAGCTTTAAAAGTTACCAAGGATCCCAAATAATTTTTGATTTTGTGGTTTATGTATACTGGCATTTATTATGTGAGAAATTAAAACTTTAAAAATAAAATTAGAAAATTTTTCGTTTAAAAATAATGAACCATAAACCATTACTTTACGTGTTAACATAAATAACATGTTAATGAAGAATAATTATATCTCCCAAACCTCCAAAAATTTAGTGAGATACAGAAGAGTGGTAGTACTTTATAGTTTTGTAAAGTTCTTTTTTCTGGGGGGGAGGGAACTCAAATACATCAGTTTTAGTTTTTCTCTAAATACACGTTTATTTGCTACTAAAAATTGAAATAGCATATTGAAATCTCCTCTTACTACAATCCAAAATTTTGAAAACCAGAAAACCAAATTAATTATTATTATGCTGTAGCCAGACTACCCAGTATTTTCTTTACATTCTTTCCCCACAGGTTACTTTCCTTTAAATTCTTAATGTTGGATTTTATCTCACTGACTTCAGGTTTCTAAAACACATGGGGATACTTGAGACCTATTGTTGCTTCTTTAGGTCAAATCAATAGTTTTGTAAAAATCTTTGATGTCTGACTTAACAGAATCTGGCAGGATTCTCTTACCTGTTTTTTCATGTAATCTGTTATATTGTTGGGTTGAAATAAATGAAGAAAATTTAGACTCACATAGGTATGTAGTTGGAAAAGGGAGAACTTTGCTGACTTTGAAAGACTTTTAGGATGCCCACAGTTCCTTGGACTGCTTAAAACCCCAGTGCACATTTGCACAACTGCTGCTGTAATTTATTTAACCATCTGTTGATAGGCAGCTAGGGTATTTCCAGTTATTTATTGATATGTGTGCATAAAATGTATTTCCATATATCTATGTGTCTATATGTGTATGATAGAATCTAGACTAGAACTAGAGGTTACGATTATCTGAAATTGTGATAGATTTTGCCAAACTGCCTTCCAAAAAGACTGTATCTGTTTACATTCCCACTAGCAGGAGAGAGGAGTATCCATTTTCTCATGTTTCCTAACATTGGATATTGTGTTTTTAAAATATTTGCCTATCTTGTGGATCAAAAATGTTATTGTTAGCCTGTCACATTGGCCTGTGTGCTCTTCCTCAAACACTCTAAGCCTGCTAGCACTTCATGGTCTTCACTTTTATTCCCACTGCCGGCAATGCCCTTCCCTCAGAGATTCTTTCTGTCAGGTGTTAAGCTCAAATACCATGTACCCCCGAACTTAAAAGTTAAAAAAAAGTGATTAAAAAACATTAATTTTTTTTGGTCAAAAAAAAAAAAAAAAAAGCTCAAATGCCACCCCAGTGAGGCTTTCTTGGACTACCTTTTCTAAATGTCCATCCCAGCTCCTGCCATTGCATTCCCAATCCTCTTTCTTTCTTTACTTTTCTACATAGCACCTCTGACCTTCAAGTATGCTATGTAACTTATTTATTTTATTTTCTTTCTTTCCCTGCAGGTATTTTTATCTCTTTTGTTTTCCAGTGCTTAGAACAGTGCCTGGCACATAGTAGTTACTCAATAAATACCTGTAGTATGAATGAATGAATATCTCCCTCACCCAATTAGTAGGAATTATATATGTTCATAAACTATTTCTCAAAAAAACTGTGTGTTCTTTTAGTTCCTCATTTCTTATCTGAGGCCATATGTGGTACTTGTTTATTTAGTCAGACATACAGCAAATATTTATAGAGCACTTAACGTTTGCCAGGTACTGAGCAAGGAATCAAGGATGCAAATATGAATAAAAGTACAGTCTAGTAAGAGAATCAGATATGTAAACAATTGTGTGAGAAAGAATTGTATGGATGTCATATGAATATATAGGCATGAATAAAAGGAAAAACTTTTTGTTTATACACTTCTGAGACCAGATATGTGGATTTTCTACACTGAGCAATTCTCCAATTCTCTGGACACCAACTGGATGTCCTCCAATTTAACTAAATTCTTTTTTAAATTTTAATTTTAAAATATTTTTTATTGAGACAAGGTCTTGCTCTGTTGCCTGGGCTGGAGTGCAGTGGTGTGATCGTAGCTCACTGCAGCCTCCATCTTCCAGGCTTAAGCAATCCCCCCAACCTCAGCCTCCTAAGTAGCTGGGACTACAGGTGCACCTCACCACACCTGACAAAGTTGCTCAGGCTGGTCTCGAACTCCTAAGTTCAAATGATTCTCCTTCCTTGGCTTCCAGAAAGTGCTGATATTATAGGTGTGAGCCATTATGTCTGGCGAATTTAACTCAATTCTGACACTAACTACCTGGAGTTAGCACAGGCTCCTCCAGTTTAAGGGCTTAGGCCCTAAAGACTGCCCCCGACTTCAGTCCCCAGTTGCAAGTCCCAGGTTGTGACCTGTAACTTCTGACCAAATGGCTGTAAGTTGAAGGTTCCCACAATCCCCTCTTGAGGTTTGATAATTTTCTAGAATAGCTCACAGAACTCAGGAAAACTCTCTTATTTACTATTACTGGTTTATTATAAAGGATATATGGGGCAAGCTAAATGGGAGAGACTCATAGGGTAAGGCATAGGGGAGGAGTGCAGCACTTTCATGACATCTCCAGGTGCACCACCCTCCTAGTACCTCCTTGTGTTTGCTAACCTGGAAGCTCTCCAAATCCCATTGTTTAGGGGTTTTTATGGAGCTTCATTAGGTAGGCGTGATTGATTAAACCATTGGCCATTCATACTTGGAGGTTGAGGAATGGAGCTGAAAATCCAAACCCACTAATTATGTGGTTGGTTTCTCTGGCAGTCAGCCTCCATCATCCAAGAGTCACCTCATTAGCATAAACTCAGGTCCAGCTGGAAGGGGCTTATTATGGATAACAAAAGATACTCTTCTTACCCCCATCACTCAGGAAATTCCAAGGGTTTTAGAAGCTCTGTGACAGGAACCAGAATAAAAACCAAATGTATTATTTCTTATTATATCACAAATTCACAGGCATATTCTTGAGGGAATATAGAAGTAACCAGTAACGCTGCTAGTGGCAATCATGGGAGGCTTTATGCCATAGTACTCAATGAAGAAATAAAG